ACTACTAGTAGCAAGAAGCTAGCAAGCAATGAGCAAGCAAGAAGCTTCTAGTAGCTCCTGGCACTACTACCAATAGCAAGAAGCTACGGGGAACAAGGGCATTACTGCTAGTAGCAAGACGCTACTAGTAGCTCCTGGCGCTACTACCACTAGCAAGAAGCTACTAGGAACAAGGGCATTACTACTATTAGCAACAAACTACTAGTAGCTCCTGGCATTGCTACTAGTAGCAAGAAGCTACTAGGAACAAGGGCATTACTACTATTAGCAAGAAACTGCTAGTAGCTCCTGGCATTACTACTAGTAGCAAGAAGCTACTAGGAACAAGGGCATTATTACTAGTAGCGAGAAACTACTAGTAGCTCTTGGCGTTACTATTACTAGAAAGAAGCTAGTAGGAACAAGGGCATTACTACTATTAGCAAGAAACTACTAGTAGCTCCTGTCATAACTACTAGTAGCAAGAAGCTACTAGGAACAAGGGCATTATTGCTAGTAGCAAGAGACTACTAGTAGCTCCTGGCATTACTACTATTAGCAAGAAACTACTAGTAGCTCCTGGCATTACTACTAGTAGCAAGAAGCTACTAGGAACAAGGGCATTACTACTAGTAGCAAGAAACTACTAGTAGCTCCTGGCAGTACTACTAGTAGCAAGAAGCTACTAGGAACAAGGGCATTACTACTAGTTCCCCAGACCTCTGGTCGTGAGGACGGAATATGCACCAAAGAACAAACCGCACTGGGCCGGCACCATTGGCATCTCTGCCCTGAGGCATCACTCAGAAGATCCCAAGTACCTGTGCCAGGGTGAAAAGGCCGGCTGCATGAATCCGCCCAAAAACGACACATGGGACGGCTGCATAGTATGTTATATATATATGAGCCACGGTCAAAACATGCGAAGACCACTTTAGTAAAGAGGGGTAGGTTTGTGCACAAAACCCTGCAAAACGATAAGGTCCACCTCAAAACCGATAACCCCAGCGCTGTATATGATCATAAGTATGCGACGAACTCAAAACACTGTAAAACGATAAGGTCCAACTCAAAACCGATGACGTCCATTTTTTGTTGAAGAAGAATAAGGAGTTTTGACCGTCCCTCATATATATATATATATGATATGTATTATAGTCTTATTGTTATGTGTTTTTTTTGGGGTGTTTTGTTAATATGTTTTTATGTTTTAATGTTATATGTTGGTTTGTTTGTGTTGTGTTTTAATCCTTATTTCTTCCCTACATTGACCACTGAACATCTACCCCCCCCAAGCTGACGAAGGCCAACCGAGAGGCCAGGAGTTGTAAACTAGGCGAAGGAAGTGAGTTAGGCGGGGAGATATGATGAGATAGGCGGGTACAGATTACATATTCCATGGAGTGTTTGGGATGGCTTAGTGATGTTCAGGTCCATTTGCCCCCTCAACAAAGAGTCGTTCCTGCTAAACTCTTCGCTCTGATTGTTCAATAAGTCCAGGACCAGCGAGTTTCCGATGGAAAAAAGAAAGGCCATGTATCGAATGTCGTCCGAAGTGAGCCACGTCCGAACACTGGAAAAAGAACCCGTTTGGCCTCCTGGCCTACCTCCGTTTCGAAGATGGGACAGGGGTATGTTACCTGAGGATATGGGACAGGAGCCTTAGGGGACCCACACTGGACAACAGCAAAGATTTCTCAGGTGATCGCCGCTTTGCGATCCCCAAGAGCTCACATCATCTCCCTGTTCCAGGAATGCAAGGCGCGTTCCTGATGCAGTTGCGCCAGACGTGACTCCAACCGTTTGAAAGGCATGGCGGAGGTGTATTTTCCGAACACTCCAGGGGGTCTTTGGGAGCGGTCTCCCTATATCAATACACAGCTTTGGAAGCCCCAATGAGCTGCCATTGCATGATGCATATATATATATATATATGTGTGTTATTAGGTTTTCATGGCTAGGCTGAGTCGACCCTTTTTGGAGTTATAGTTTGCACACCCAACAAGAACCGGTGGACAGTTTGCTTAACCATGCCAGGACCTTCCTTGACGCCCGGTGTTTTTTGACCATGCCATGTGTATAGCGTTAACCTAGACACCCCGAACGGAGGGTCCTGGTGGTTAACCGATATTTATATGTTAACCTTACTCCCCTGGAAATCCTCCACTGCAGTGTTGTAGAGGAACATGGTTTTCCACCATTCCATTCTCAGGTTCCATGTGGTCCGTTTGCGGGAGGGTCACTGGTGTTGAGGAAGTGAGGGAAGTGAAACACCTGTTCCGTGTCACTCATGTGTGTGACAGAACGCTTCAACAAACAGATCGCCATGCATCGCCGATGTTTTTTTTTTGCGGGTCCTTGTGTGTGGAACTCAACGGCTGTTTTAAAGGCAGATGACAATGGCAGAACCATGTAGAAGCCTTGTAGACCTAGTCTATTATAATTATAGTCATGTTTGTCCTCTGGAGTAAATGCTTGGTGGGCCAGCACTCCAATTCCAAGAGAGAACTGACTTTTGTTCGCTCTCTTGTCACGTTTTGACAGGCTCAGCCACACCGTGGATTTTTGGCTTGATGTTTCTCTGGGGCGATGGAAAGCTCTCCGGTCCGATGGTCATGGTCCGATGGTCGTCGGGCGGCTTTGGTCCTGCTGTGAACACCCCAAACGGTGTTGCAGAAGCCACTCTCCGAACGGATACGGCTTCTCCAACATGATCCGTCGAAGAGGGTGAACGACGTTCGTTTGGGTGGCAGATGTTTTAGGAGGATGACTGGGCGCGATCATATGCTCCCCACACGGCCTTTTCTTTTGGGTTCGTCACGCAGCATAGCGCAGCCAATCCTGAAAAGCTACTTCAAACCCATGTGCGCTTTGCTCCTAGCTACGCAGTGCCTACAAACCTCAGGAGTTTTAGGAAGGAAACTAGACCAAAGCCTGCACTCCCTGGAACTAAATGGCCCCGAAAGGAAGACCATGTTCCTCAGACAGGGGGTCTCCACTCCACTTCCATGTTAGTTCCAGGGAGAGTATTGGTTGAGGCTTCCCTATTGAAGAGACACACGCACCCATGTATTTAGTTGTATTGGTAAGTAAGATTGGGCATGGTTTACATGGTGAAGGAACCAACAAGAAAAGACTCATTCCCTACAAGTCCAAAGACCCAATAAAACCTGTTACCTCATTAGTGTTTTTGTATGACCATGACCACGTCCAGTAAAATGAGGTTATTGGCCGGATGTTCAACCATTGATGATCAACCCCCGACAAATTTCAGCTAAGGTGAAGCCGATCCCCTTGCGAAGTCGATCCTGTGGTTGCGGTTATAAGTACTAGTAACAATCCTCACATCCAAGGTAGTATCCGACATCTATAATGAACTATCGTTTAATAGGCTTCTACTTCGCCTCACATCTACAGAGCGAAGTCTCACATTGGGCGCACGGGGTCATACGCCCAGGAACTTGGGAGTTGGGGGCCTGGCTTCAGCACTGGGCATTGAAGGCACGTCGAGGCGCGGCATGGGACGGTCTTCGGGCGAAGATCGAGCCCAGGAATCGCACTGCTGGGGGGATGCTGAGAGCCTGGCTCAAATGAGCTCACCCTAAGGATCCAAGTACCCTCACAGTCATCGTGCCAAGACGGTCCGAGCATTAGTCATGTTGGAAAAAGGCTGGCCCTGGCTTTGTAGACTCTTTAGATAGCAACACTAATGGTTGCGTGGCGTGGTAAAGACCATTGCATGAATGGTGATTGGAATCCCCGGGGCGTTGGCAACAACAACGACAGCAGCAACAACAACAACAACTACTACTACTACTCCTGCTACCACTACTACTACTACTACTACTACTCCTCTACTACTACTACTACTACTACTACTACTTCCTCCTCCTGCTGCTGCTGCTAATGCCCCCACTACCACTACCACTACCACCACGACCCACTACAGCCACTACTACTAGCAACTGTTAAGTACCAATTCTATCCAATTCTGAACTATAGTAACTGCTGAGCCCTGGCTGCGGTCATTTGTGCAGTTGAACATGGTCCCCGCCCCGCACTCATCCAATCGCAGTGACCTTATCCGCGCCCGGGTCATGTAAGATATACTCAACATCCCTGTGTCTAGTCTGATCCAGTGCGTCCTGTTGGGACGGGCCTGGAGGCCCACTTGAGTGCCCGTCGGAGCGTCAGGCCCCGTGGCAACCATCGGGTGGACCATTCTCAGGGGTTGAACCCGCTTGTTTTCCGGGTCCTTGAGCCATCCACTCGCAGGTGAACTGGCGCCGGTGCGTGATCGCACGTCCACGGTGGCCGACCATGGCCCCTACAAGGATCGCCGGATCGCCGTGAGAGCAAGCAGGCCTCAGAAGCTTTGAGGCCTTTCACCTCTTAGCTGGGCTCTCCTTTTTCTGAGAATGACCAGCATCCCGGGATGAGTGGGCCTTCCTTTGCTGGGCCTTCCTTGTCTAGGCCGGGATGCTGGGCCTTTAACATCGCTGGTCCTCAATGAGTGGGTCATGACCACCATCCCGGGTCTCCAGCCGGCTTCATCGCTGGCGCGCTCCGACCTCGGTGCAGATCCGTGAGGACCGGTCCGGTCAGCCGAGGTGGGTCAGAACCCGGTCACGTTCGGCTATCCTAGTTGGGTACCCCTGGTTTTCCGGGATCCTTTGCTGGATCACTTAACCTTTGACTGGATCCGGGTTTTCACTAGGTTCCTGGTTTTCCTGGTTTTTCGGTACCCCTAGTTCAGGTCACTTAACCTTTGCTGGATCCTTTTTTTTTGAACGGGGAGAGCCACCCAGGTGGCCCGAATTGCTCGTGGTTCGCTCCGGGGCGTTTTCCCCCCCGCACGTCCCCCTATCCCGAAGCAGAAGCAGAAGCGAAGCATCGCGAATCCGGTCGGGAGGATTGCTACATCCCCTACAACTTCCAGTCCTCCTATCTGAAGATCATCAATGCCACTCCCAGCTTCCTTGCCATCGCCGACCTCCTGGACCTCTCAGGCGCGGAAGTTCTGGGGCGTTCCGGGCGAACTGGCCCGCGGCGCGCTTGCGCGGCAGGGGGGGGTATCGATAGTCCGCCTTGCAAGAGGGACAGTGGCCCTTGAGTGACTAAGGAAAGTGGTGGTTGTGAACATGATTTATTTGGACTAGGGAATGGAAGGTTTATTGGTTTGTGTCCTTTTGTTAATTTTCTGGTCACTGCCATCAGCGCCCGGCTGGCAAAAGATTCAAAAGACTGCACAATTACATGAGTTGTGTTTGGGGTTGAGGAAGTTCAGCAAGTCGCTGATTCACCAGCGTAGCTCTCAGGCATTCTCAGCCCTAGGCTTCCAACTACCATTGATTTAATAGTCTTAGTGAGCCACCATTGTTTTACTAAGCGTTTTACTATAAGCAGTCTTTAAATGGTCTTGGAAGGCTATAGGATCAGGCCATCCTGGTTCTTGGCATTCTGCCCACATCGCGTCCACCGCCGACAATTTCGGTGCATACAAAACCGCATCTCACATTTGAACCGAAGGAAGTGTCAGGGTTCCTGCCTGTTCCCTTACCCAAACACTCCCTAGGACTGGAATATGTATATATATGCCTACATTGACCCCCCAATGTAGGCGAATATGCCAGCCCAATGGAGTCTTTGGGTTCAACCAAGTCTCAGAATTCACCAACAAACTCCTCCAGAATCCCGCTGTGACATGTCGTGACCGTGACAGATGGCAACCTCTCTCTCACGCAGACTGGGTGAGAATTCAACGTTCATGCTCAGTGACCAAGCACCGCACCGTGCATTGAATATAGTTCGGAATGACAATTAAATTACATTATGTGTATAGTTCTTTACATGCATCTAGAGTCATCATTACCTGGAGCCTCGAAGTTCCTCACAAAAATGGCCACAAGTACTCGGACCTGCTTTGGTTGGGGTTATGCTCCATTTTCTAGGGTATGAATTGGTACTTTGCAGGCAAAAAGATGCTCCGGCCTCCACAGGTTGTGTCTTTGCAGCGCGGCTCTTGGGACATGTGCCGGCGATGTGCTCCCACTGCACTCATCGTGGCTATAGCGATCCGGACAACAGCTACAAGGCGCCAGTGCTCGCAAAGGCGAATTCATGTATTTTTGATATAGTTCAGGAAAGAATCTGTTGAGCATGTGGGTGCTATATTTCAATGGGTGGTGTTATTGTTTTCGGGTTTCTTGCTTGTTTCAGACATGTTCAGACTAGAAGCATAGTTGATTTGACACTTGTCAGATTGCATGAGTAGAATGGATACATGCATACCGGATACACCACTTTGAGTATGTGTTCACGAAAGCTGTCAGCGGATTTGTGTTTGTTTTTTCTTCTTGCCAGGCGGAATTGAACAAGAGCGACATCGAACACATCCAAGGGCTCACTGAAATGGATGAATCCATTTTCTGGAAAAGCTACAAGGACGCCCCAGCAAGCTCCTTTTGTTCGCGCCAGGCTTTCTCAGATGTTTTTTGAGCTCCTCCAAAGTCGAAGGTGTTTCTTGTAGCAACTGATGGTGCCAGATTTTGTTAATTGACGGAGCAGTGGCCGGCAGATCTCAATTTGGTATCATATTTGATTCGCCTCATATTTGATCTCATATAGTTAATCATGTCTCATTCAGCTCATCTATGACCATCTATGCTTGGTTTATGATCTAAACTCTTCTCGGCTCCTTGTGGCTTGGTGGTTGACATGTGTCCCTCCTTGACTTGAACCCTATGTCCATTGCAAGTAAGATTGAAATCATTGATACGCCATCCTGCACCTGCTTTCTCAATCGCTAGCGTCCTTGACATTTCTGCTGCATCACCGCAAAGACACTTGCGGATGTGTGTGTCGTCAAGTCCACAAGCAAAGACAAGCAAAGCTGTCAAAGCTCTCAAAGCTGCGTTGCCAGTCCTTCTCAGACCCTGAAAATGCATGAACATGGAACTGACCCGGACTGACCCCATCCAAAGCTGGTACTTGTGTGCCATCTTGTGCCTGCTTTGAGGTACTTTTGCCCCTCGTTCTTTCACCGCTCCAACGCATCCGCCTCTTCGCCTCCACCGTCTCCGCAACCCACCGACCGGGCGAAGACCGGGCCGGGCCTCGGGCCTCGACCGTGGTCTTCGGAGTCCCCGGGCCTCTCGGACCACGGAGGAGCTGGTGGAGGAGGCGCAACGTCTGGAGAAGCGTTTCGGACGACGGCTGATTTGCCCCGGCGAGCTGAGCCGCGCCACGCCCGCAGTCCGCGGAGCGTTTCGGTGCTGGACCGGAGGTGAAGGGAGGAACGTGTGTGTTGATGGTGGTTTGGGAGTGCTTTCGGGGGATGGGAGCTGGAAAGGGGTTTCTTTGTGTTACTGTGCCTCAGATTCTGTTGGTCCTTTTCCTCAGATTCTTGTTAGTTGAGCAGACTCACTCAACATGAACAGGTCTGTTGACCCACGCAGGTCCTGCTTTTCCCAGAGCATGAACAAGGACAGCTCAATTCCAGTCACGTGTGACATGAGATGAAGAGCTTTCAACCTGCTCAACAGCTGAGCATCCGCTTTTCGGAGAGAAGGTCTCCCTTTGCACCTCCAAAACGCAACAGGTATGGCATGTTATGACCAACCACTCAACTTGATCTCCAGGGTGAAAACCCCTTGGTGTTGTGAGCGCAGATGCTCAGAGGCGTCCTCCGGCATGATGCTCAGCTGCAGAATGTTCCACTGAGACAATCATCATCGCAAGAGCTTTACTCAGCCTCAGACGCAACGAAAACGTCAAGAGTGCCGAAGGTTGTCTACTTAATGCAAGAGCATAGAGGCCACTTAGAGGCCACAGTGCATAAGAAGGCCACTTACAGCAAATATGAGGTATATGCCAGCCCGTGTCACGGGCGCGAGAGTGTCTGAACAGCCACCGGTGTGGCCATCTGGTTCGAACCCATGAGGACCATCGAGTCGTCGCGTCGCCCAGGAGAATGCGACCCATTTCGATCATCGAGCCAAGCAGCACAAGGAGTTTGACACCTGAGTGACCCAGTCAAGTGCGACCCAGGACTTAAGCATGTAACACCATATGTAACACCTGGTCCTGAAAACCTCCACCAAACTCCTATGAAAGATCAGGTCAGAGAGAGACCTGAAGGATCAAACGGCGCCATGTTTTTTGCTGGAAAGATCTGGCGCATCTGTGACAACGGTGGCCACAGCCACAACTTGGGTTTCACCGCCTGTCCCGCGTGAGCGAATGAATGAAATGCATACAACGAAGCGCTCCGTGCCATACGACGGAAGGGGGGTCCAGGCAAACATTGGTTGCCAATGGTTTCAAAGACCTATAGAAGCCGTAGACCCACCAAGGGCCGCTGGTTCCTTACTATACCTGGAGTCTCAGTTCGTACCTCGGAAAATGGGTACAAGATGGTACAAGTAATGTACGTGTTTTTATAGAGTCATGTCCTATTTTCTAAGGATACTTGAAGTCGGATCCAGGTAGTGGCCGATAGAGACGGTAGAACTGCACTGGGATTCCATCCGCTCGTTCAAGCCCCCTTACTTGCAGGCGTGAGAGAGAGAGAGAGAGAAGCTTATCGTATCCGTGGGCAACGTCACCATGTTTTGGATCGAGAATGGAGTGATACTGTAGCCCACAATGGGATACGTATAACATAATTTAATTATACCGTCATTATATAATATATATATAATGTGTGTTTGGTAGCATGCGGTTTCTTCCATGCTCAAGGGGTGGCATGTCTCACCGCTGAGGCTCGGGCCACTTGGCACATGAAGTTCGACATTCTCGACACCAAGAAACAGGCGACAACTCCCGTCGAAGAGACCGGCGCGATTTCGCCCCAAGCCTGGTGTTCCTTCCCTTGTTTGGGCGGAGTGGCGGAGGGAGAAAGACATTGAATTTGGGGTGGGTGGGGGAGGGCGAAAGACATGCAGTTTGAGGTATTTAGGCTCATGAGCGAAGACTCTTGATGGGTGATACGGGCTTTGGATGGCTGAGGAAAGGTTTTGTCGATCAGCAATGCTCGTGTTTGTCGAATGTAAGGCGTCCTATTGTTTGTGGTACTTGTGGCCCCAAGCTTCATGGGAGCTTAGTTTTACGCAAATATGGCTGGTTTTGAGTGGGGAATGTCCGCCAGATTGGTGCCACCATGGAGCGTTTGAGGTAGGTTTAGACCTCCATAAGAAGACAGCTTACACCTGCATGGACAGCTTAACATTTTGGTGTGTCCTTTTACCTGCAACAGTCGGTAAATCATTAGCTCCATTTTAGAGAAAGGCCTGCAGCCTAACCATCATCCACTGTGCCCTGGGCATGGGATAGACCCAAGCTTTATATCTATATCTGAAATAGATATGTATGCAGCCCTTAGAAGTGCGCTTATATATATATATATATACACACACTAAACTGCAGCGCATCTGTAGGGGTCTACGGCTTCATCGCTCCGCGGTCGTTTGCCGCGATCGCTCCGCAGCCCTTCTTCGCGAGGTGGTCCTTTGCTCCAGCTCCGTCTCGGTCCTGGAGGCCGATCCGCGGATCCGGGCGGAAGGCTGGATCCTCATGGCATACAACACTCAGGACGGATCCTGGGAAAGGTTCATAGGAACAGACGAGAGAGAACGGATCCATATGGATCCATTTCATATGAACCAAAATATGTCTTGTCATGGAGAATGTTTGTCCATGAATGGTTCATATTCAGGTGAGAACGTTGAAAAATCAGAATGTATCCTTCCAATGGACTCAGTGTGTTCTTTTTAACCCTTCCGCTCCTCTACTCTCGTGAGAGGGTTTTTGTGGGTCGATCTACTGAGTTGCATAGCAAGCGCCGTTTACCCTAGTTGCTCTTTTCCTAGGCCAAGGGCTTTGGCTCGTTGTTTTGGGTGCTGGGGGTATGGTTTATCTAGCTGGTGCTCAGGAGGGAGCTTCAGAATTGAGTTACTGTAAGTCGATTTATTGATGTTTCTTGTGACTGCGTGTGCCCAAGTGGTTCTAAAATCAAGCGTGTTATTACCTTTTTTCATGGGGGTTGTATGTACAGTGGCGTAAAAGGATATCAAGGAAATGCTTCTCTTTGTGGCCGGTGGATGTAGATGCTTTTGGCAGCTCAAAGATCATTGTTTGCTTTGCTACCCCGGCCTTGTCAAATTCCAGCTTTAATCCCAACACACGCAAGGGGGTAAATGTCTTTTGTGCAGGTGTGCAGGGTGATTTCTGTGGCCAGGGACCCTGACACTCGTGTCTTGCAGGGGTCAGCTTGCTCCTGTAGGGTCCATCCGCTCATCGGACCCCGACCCCTGAGAGGTCTTGAATGAGATCTGTGCCAGTGAAGGGCTTGGGAGACCCAGATGGCGCACGGCACGAGGGGCAGGAATGGGTTGGACTCCTCAATTCCCATGTTTTGAACTTAACAAATCCACCCTAAGAATCTGGGCCCTCAAACAGATAGGGTTTGTTTCGGGCCCGGACCCCTGCGTTTCGGTGGAGAAGGTCGGACCCTTGCCATGGAGAGCCCAAGGATTCTTAGGGCAGAAGGATTTAGGATTTCGAACCTCCCCAGGGAACAGCAAGGGGAGCAGGGGCAGCAGGTGACCGCCAGACTGCCAATGTTGGGGGACTGAGCACCGTAAGATGCATAGACTAACTAACCTGTGAACAAGTTGATTTAGTAAGAAGCATCTCTTCAGTAAGGTGAAGATCATGTCGCACCTGGTCATGGTTTCCCAAAGACTATGCTTTGGAGGTGGTCTGCCTCACGGCTTGGCGGCGTTGCCGCGGATGGCAAGACGAACACCCACATGTTGCGCAAGGTATATATATATATACCCTGGAAGTCAAAGACTATTTTTAAAACGGTTGATCTGGCTTTGTAGTGAACAACCCTTGGTAAAACAATGGTGGTTCGACTTCTAGGGTATATATACACATAACTGGACAAGACTATTTTTTGGGGGGGGGCCAGCATGTCCGCACTTGCCCATATTTTTTCCATGATTCACCAGCGATCCGACCCGACTCTTGTTCTCCCAGCCAGGCCCATAGTTTTGGAGATCAGGTGATGTTGATTTTCCTCATGAGTACAGCCTGAAATACACTGAAAACCACTGGTTCGTAGAGGAGAACACTCTTGTTAGGGCACCAGACAGTCAGGGTCTATGTGAGTTGACTTGGGAGTGTAAAGTTTCTTGTTTTGTTCTTTTGTTGGGGGGGCGGGGGGGGCTTCCTAGGAGCCACAAATCCAAGTATCACATGCTGGTTGGAAACCCTGAGCGTCTATGTGATCCCACTGAGGGGTGATCCCATTAGCAATCTCACCATCCGCGAGCGCTTGGAGGACAGCGCTTGGAGCACTTGGGCGAGTCGCTGGTTGGAAATCAGAGGTCACTACCTTCTTGCTTTCGCTACTAGCCACCCATGTGGACGCTTATTTTTCTGGCAAGCTCGAGGAAACAGATAAACAAGTCATACCCAGTGGATTGAAACCATTCAGTGGTTCGAATACCTCATTGTTTGTCTATGATATTATATACTTATGATGGGTCGATCTAGACACCAGGTCTTACCCAGGTGAGGCGACCGGGTCGAATGGGAGGCGGCCGGGTCAACCGAATGGACCACCGGATGACCGTCAACCTTCCCAGGGTTGCCCGTCAATTCTTCACATCTCGGACTCCCTCGAAGGCGGGAGGAAGATGCAACCACAGAGCCACAAAAGAGCTGAATTCAGGAAATCTTTGATGTCTTTTTGATGTTTGCGCACTGTTTGCGCACCTAGTCCACCTGCTTCACCTAGTAAACCGTCACATCCACCGTCACATGCAAAAACCCAGATCCACCGCCGCTTCCGGACCACCCTCCGACCCTCTCTCTCCCCCGGTGTCCGCCCGCTTCGTCCGGAGGAAACCATGTCGCACTTCCAGTTGTCGCCCAGCACCGACCCCTTTGCAGATGAAGAAAGGCGCCCGTTCTCGGTGCACCGAGCACCGCGTTTGTCCAAAGGAGCGGGCTGTTGGCGCCTAAGGTTTGAGCGGAAGGGCGACTCCGGAAGGTGGTGGTGAAGGTCCTGGCGGATCATTGATGGTGGTACCTATTTTGGGGGGATCACTTCTGATTGAGAGGCTTCCCTGTTTGGTGGAGTTGGAACATTGTTGGAACCTCATCCACATTGCACGAGGCGGTCGGATGGGTGGCAAAGGGTGCACAGTTTGGCACTTGCATTCTGTCTTCATGGTGGCCATTGAACAGGATCTACTACCGTATACTTCCGCACATGCACATCCAGACCGTTCACCTCCAGGTCCCTCCCATTCCGCCCATACAGACGCGAGGTGCCAAGTGGTGCGCCGCAAGCTGATCATGAAGCAGCTGGACAAGCCCTTCCAGAAAGCCACGGAGATGTTTTTTCCGCTTCGGTCGCGAAGTCGAAAGGGACATGGAGAGGTCAAAAAGGGCAGGCCGTCGTATAGGGACATAGTGCACCCAACTAGATGCAAAGGTCCTCCAGTTGCCCTACCCAAGTGATGAATCTGAAGTTCGTGCCGCGCGAATTAGGGGGATAATAATACATATTCTATATATACGATAGTTTTACTGTACCTAGATCTTCAGTCCGGCACTTTTACAGGGTCCGGCGCCGGACTTCCAACTCCGACGTTTTTCTGGATTTGGTCCGGCAGTTGTTCCAAGTCAGTTTATGTGGATTCTCAAGGCTTTGCATTCTTTGTGGTCCGCGTTTCTTTGAAGGTAAACCACTACTGATGCAATGATTTTGCTCGCAAAGTGTGCTCGTTTGCCTGTTCCGCTGTTTTCTCATTCCACTGGTTTCAGCATGGTTCACACTGGATCAATCAGATCCGCTTAGGTGATCTTCTAAATGAAATCGGATGAAATCGGTACAGTGCGATGCACGTGACGACCCAAGTGGGTGTACCTAAGCTGAAAGAACATAGGCAAGACTGCACTCCCATTGTTTCAGGATGTCGGGGCGATGGGATATGGTTCTAGCTGGGCAGGTTTGCAGAGCCTGCCGGACAAGGTTTGGGCTGTGGAACATGTGTTGTTTAGAATCTCAATGTTTTGCAGAGAGTTGCTTAAAAAAAATCCGCATCATAACTCCAGCGTAATTTCCCGTAACTCCGACGTAACTTCCCGTAAATCCGGCTTTTCTTTGAACTCAGTCTTCCGAAGAGTTTTGACAGGAACCATGAGTTCTGCTACTTTATTGGCGGGGCCGTCCTGAGGCAATTTTTTTTAAAAAAACCTTTAAAAGCATTAGAATCATGGAGAGCAACCCACTTTGTAAAAAAACTTTCGAGACACGGTTGCAGAGAAATACGTAGAGGCTC